TCGGCCCGGGCTCGGTGGCTCAGCCTGTAATCCCTAGTGCTTTGGGAGGCCGAGGTGAGTGGATTGCCGGAGCCCGCGGGTTCGAGACCTGCCTGGGCAACTTGGCGAGACCTCATCTCTACAATAAATCAAAAATTAGCCGGGCGTGGCAGCGCGTGCCTGTAGTTCCAGCTACTTGGAAGGCTGAGGTGGAAGGATCGCCGGAGCCCAGCAGGTCAAGGCTGCAGTGGCCGGGAGCGGCCACTGTACTCCAGTCCGGGTGACAGAGTGAGACTCCAACTCAAAAAAAAAAGAATTCTGATGATGGAAATATTTCAGGCTGGTCTAGTGTAAGGTGGAGATGCTAATGGAAGGACACTGGAAGATATAAGGTGTCTCACTCTGCAGCAAAATTTCAATATTTTCTGAAGAATAAAAAGTCAACAGAATCTTGTTGATACTTGTTTGGCCTGCTCAAGGACAGAATGCCTGGATGTTTTTGCTACACACAAGCTAAATTAGGTTATCTCCTGAACTATGTAAATGAGATCCACTGTTTCCCTCCCGTCTCCCTTATAAATCCTGTGTTTGCTTCTCCTTCTGGACAACTTCTAATTGTTCTCCTTCCCATAAATGAATGTGCATGCAAAACAGCCAGCAAAGTGTTTACAATTTTTTGTTAAGTTTGTTTTCGGAAGTCCCACAGAGATGCTGCGTGTAAACTCGAGAAACCACGTGAACCCAGATGGCCATGTAGTGGGGTGGTAGCCCTGGTTGGGACCCGGACACCAGAGCCCTTGGCTCACTTCCCCAGGCTCCCTCTTGTGGCATTTAGCTTTTCGGACCTTGCTTGCAAATCTGATTCCTGGTCAATGTAATTTTGTTTCTATTTTTGATTTACATGTGGTCACTTATTTGACTCAGTTGGTGGATGAATGCCAGAATCTAATTTTCAATTTTATGGTCTGCCCATTTAGTGTTTTCAGTGGCAGAAGATAGGAATTGGGAATCTAGAATCTGGCTTTTGTTTTTGTTTGTCCATGTTTACCTGTCTGAGGATTCTGATACTTCCTGGCACACATAAATACAGGGTTGAGACATCATTAGTGTCTTTTTTTCCTCTTTTTGAGTCGGAGTCTCACTCTGTCACCCAGGCTGGGGGGCAGTGGCACGCTCCCAGTCATCACAGCCTCGACCTGTTGAGCTCAGGCAATCCTTCTGCCTCAGCCTTCCAAGTAGCTGGAACTGCAAGCACGTCCACTATGTCTGGCTAATTTTTTGGTTACTGTAGAGACGAGTCGCCAAGTTGCCCAGGCGGGTCTCGAACCTGTGGGCTCAGGCAATCCTTTCTCCTCGGGCTCCCAAAGTGCTGGGATTATAGGCGTGAGCCACTGCACCCAGGCTTTTTTTTTTCTTTGAGTTGGAGTCTCACTGTGTTGCCCAGGCTGGAGTGCAATGGTATGCTCATGGCCAATGCAGCCTCCACCTGTTGGGCTCAGGCGATTCTTTCGCCTCAGTCTTTCAAGTAGCTAGAACTACAGGTGCATGCCACCACACCTGGCTAATTTTTTTTTTTTTTTTTGAGTTGGAGTCTCACTCTGTCGCCCAGACTGGAGTGCAGTGGCCGCTCCCGGCCACCGCAGCCTCGACCTGCTGGGCTCTGGTGATCCTTCCGCCTCAGCCTTCCGAGTAGCTGGAACTACAGCGCGTGCTACCACGCCCAGCTAATTTTTTGATTTTATGTAGAGATGAGGTCTCGCCTGCCCAGGCGGGTCTCGAACCCACGGGCTCAGGCAATCCACTCACCTCAGCCTCCCAAAGGATTTTTTTTTTTATTGTTGTAGAGATGATGTCTCACCAAGTTGCCCAGACTGGTCTTGAACCCCTGAGCTCAGGCAATCCTCTCACCTCCATCTCGCAAAGGCTTGAGTCATTGCACCCGGCCTGATACAATTATTATAAGTGATATGAACACTAAAGAAGGAAATTGTCTAGCCAAATTAAGACATAAATTGCCCTGGCACAGCAGCTCATGCTTGTAATTCCAAAATTTGGGAGGCCAAGGTGAGGGGACTGCTCGAGCCCAGGTGCTAGAGACCAGCCCAGGCAACACAGGGAGACCTCATTTTTACAGAAAACAAAAAAATTAGCCAAGTTTGGTGGCATATGTCTGTAGTCCCAGCTACTTGGGAGGCTGATGCAGCAGGATCACTTGAGCCCAGGAGTCGCATGCTGTAGTAAGTCACGACTGTGTCATTGCACTCCAGCTTGGGTAACAGATGACTCAACAAACAAACCAACAAAACACTACAAAACTACCCATCATTTTGCAATGAGGTATCCTGGGGATCCTAACAGAGCTTAGTTTATATGTGATTTTTTTTTTTTTTTTTT